CTGATTCTAAGAAGCAAACTCCAAGTTCAACAGTGACAAAATGCTCATCTTGTGTTCTCTTCCTATATTATGTCAAGATATTTTCAGTACAAAAATATAAAGCACAGTACAATTTAAGTTGAAGAAAGGTTTTGACAGCTCAGCAATAAATCTATCCCCATATTATCTTTTAACAGCTGGTAGATAAATCAAATAAAGACACGCATGGGTATGAAAAAGGAAAAAGGGTCTGCATTGCTCTGTCTAAGCAAGACTTGCAATCTAAAAGACCTTTTGATTTGAAGCACTGCTCCAATTTATACTTGTGGGCTGATCCAAGAGTTTGGAATGGAAAGGGTTGCTTTTTCTGACACTCTTTATTAAACAATCTGCTGTCTTTGAATCCATTCCAGTGAAGATGGTGGAAATAACATGCTCCGTATTACTGGAACCCTCATGCACTGTTGATGCCAGATTGGTAAATTTCCTCCTAATACAGGAATTCATTATGCCCAAGTGTTAGACAGTTTAGAAATAAAAAAAAACCTCATGCAGCAAAAAAAAAATTCAAAATAATTGGGAGGATTTTTTTAAAATGCCATGGAAACCCTTACACAAGCTTCTGGGGCTCAATGTTTGGATTTCTCTGTATAGATATCTGTCACTATAGCCAATCACTTCAGAAATCTTATAAGCATACAATGCCCAATACACACAACGGATGCATAAATGATTATAACAACTCACCATTTCTTAAAAGAAATAATTACTTTTCATGTACAGGGTGAGCCAAATGTCACAAAGGGGTTTCAATATTTAGTAAAATTTACAATGCCATAGCATCATATACAGCAATGATAACAAATCTTTTAGAGACCAAGCGCCCAAACTGCAACCAAAAACCTACTTATTGAACGCAAAGTGCCAACATGGCAATTTAACCTAATTACTACTATTATTTCATATTATTGTTGTTGTTATCATTATTATATCATTATATTACATGACCATTATATGATCAATTCCTGGCTCCCTTCAAGGTTCAGCCCAAGATGGGCTGTGCCTATTGTTATTATTATTATTATTATTATTATTATTAACTTTATTTGTACCCCGCTAACATCTCCCGTAGGACTTGATGCGGCTTACAAGGCCAAGGCCTCAATAAAACAACAATACAACAATATACATAAACCATAAAGCAAATCAAAACAATTACAAGAGACAATTACTAGAGAGAAAAATGAATGTCTCAAACCCAACTGGGTTGTCAGTTGATTTTTTATCCCATTTTTATGAGTGGGGAAGTGTCTTTCACCATAATCTGAAGGTGTTTGGCGAGGGGGGGGTAGTTCCTACCTCCCAAAATTTGGAACATTCTGCTGCTACCTCCCGACATTTGCAATCTGAGGAAACACCATTTTCTGAAGCCACATAATAGATTTAAATTCAGGATTTTTAAAAAGATTTCTAGAATTTTTTATTTGGAAGCTTCACTAATTTTAGCAGATTTTATTCTTATGTCCCTCAATTCCAACAAAAAGTCATGAACCCACATGTATCAAACTGTATTATTTCTATCGTATAGAAAAGAGGCACTCAAGGAAGCACCAAACATCCCTCCAGTTGGAAGCACTGCATTGAGTTTCCACATCTCTGACTATTTCTTGAGCAGAACTGTGGGGAGGGAAGAGGAGGAGAGGAGAAAGTGTGGGTGCTGCTTTCCATTTTAATAAGGGGGCAGGGAGAGAAGGAACTATTTTGTCCCCTTAACTGCCCACTGCCTTATTTCTCTTCCTCCGCCCTGCTCCATTCCTTCCTGTCAAGTTCCCATTAGCACGTGGAGGGGCAGCAAGGGGCTCCGCATAGGTGCGCTGTTCTGCAAAGCCGCACCAGAACAATAATAGTTGCTGCCACCACAGCAGAATGCTGTTATTGTATGGGAACATGTGGAGCTCAAGGCTGGCCACAGTGAGGGAGAGGCAGAGCATGGGAAGAGAGGGGGATAGAAGAAAAGAAAGAAGGTGCAGTTCTCTCATGGGTGGACTGGATTTCATGGCCATTACTATTTTGTTTCATTTTTGGAAGGTAGAGTTATCTCTTGGTTGACTACCTGCTCAGCTAAGCTGGTTCTAGCCTGGGAAAACTCTTCAATGGTGCGCATGCCCACAGAGGGGGCTCTAAGTGCCCTTTCCAGCAAGCGTGCCATAGGTTCGCCACCACTGGTATACAGTACTCATAGGAAACAAAATTATATTAAATTATGTGGGAAATCTTTTCAAAAAACATTTCTAAAAAGTTATCAAAATATCAGACACCTCACCCTTGACTATCATTTTAATACAATTTCTCATTTAAACCAAAATTCACCTGTAATTGTGTCAGATTACACTCTAGGACAAAACAATGTTCATTTATTTCTTCTGCCATAAAGCTAAAGTTAAGACAAACAGTGGACAAGGAATGCCTAAGGCATTTACCAGGTTTATTTTGTGAGCGGAGGAAATCACAGAAAATATCTGAAACTCATCATCATCAAATGCACATTAGTAATCCCTGCAATAACACTGGTGGCTGTCACCACCTCATAAAAAACTTTGTCTCTCACAGGGCAACTGGGAGTTCTTTAAGTGCATTTTAATACCCCTGTTTTTAGATGTGAGTTCAGTGTAACAACTGATACAAGATGTGTGATACAAGATTATAGTAAGATGTGTGTTATGGTCCTGATCTACTGTAACTGTTGTCTGTATGTTTTATGTTCTGTACACCGCCACGAGTCGCCTTCGGGCTGAGAGTGGCGGTCAACAAGTGCAAATAATAAATAAATAAATAAAAAATACACAGAAAAATGCACTGCACACATTCTGAACACAGCACAACATCCCATGGCCATGCTTTTCTGTTTTAGTAGAAAAGATAAATGTTGCGGGTTGTAGAAAAGTTCTTACCTTCTATAAAGGGGAGAAAAGAATAAGAACAAAACAAAACAGAAAAACAAAAGATGCATGAAGAAGTCAAGAAAAGTGGTAAACTAACATTGCAGAATAAGAGTGAGGGGCATAAATACATAGGTCATGCTAGCATGTGGTCACAAGTCACACAAATCTATCACAGCCTCTTCACAACTTTAAAACTGTATCTAATGTAATGTATGGAGGGCTTCTTCAAGAGAGTAGCAACCCATATTTTCAAGTTTCTCTCTCAGCACTGCATTAGCCTCCTAGCCCAGCCCTCCATTTGCCACACTTGCCCTTAGCGCTACAAGGGAATAATTGCATTTAGGAATCATGAGCTCGAACCCAATATTTGTTATTCAGCCACAATATTGTTTATGATGTTTGTCTGATTATGATGTTTTATTATTTTTAGTTGCTGAATGTATTTCTGTGCTTGTTTTCAATCTGTATTTGCCCGCCATGTCCCTTCGTAAGCCACCCCGAGTCCCTTCGGGAAGATGGAGGCGGGGTATAAAAATATTTATTTCATTTCGTTTATTTCATATATTTGTACCCCGCCCTTCTCAAACCCCAGTTATTATTATTAAGTGTCCATCTCCCCAACATGTTACACTAAGGGTTATTGAATCTAATCAAGTACTCGTTGTATCAAACAACAAGTAGTTCAGATTTAATTAAACCCACATTTAATGATCATGACATGAGAAGGGTATATCATAAATCCAGCTTGAAACAATCCTGTGCTCTCTATGAAAACATGGCTTTAAACACAGTTATCAGAATACGGGTTGTTGCACAGCAATCCTGGCCAGCACACACCCAAGATGCAGTGGCTGAACAGCAGTTATTTTCATTTCTGAGAAGATGCCACCTCATTCAAACAGGAATAGAGGCTGAAGAGAGCAGTAAGCATTTATTCAGCCAAAAGGACTTTGTATGATGGCCCAGTCCTCTGAAGGTCTCCTGGATCACTTGCTTTCTAGAGAAGGGGTTCTCAACCTGTGAGTCCCCAGATGTTTTGGCCTTCAACTCCCAGAAATCCTAACACCTGGTAAAATGCCTGGTAATTCTGGGAGTTGTAGGCCAAAACACTTGGGGACCCACAGGTTGAGAACCTCTTTTCTATAGAGAGGAACAATGAGTGATGAAATAGGGTTTCTGCTCCTCTTTTCCATTTGTCCCTGTTCCCCTTTACAAATGTTCCAGTTTTTCATCTTCCATATATTTACCTTATTTGTCATTAAACACAATTTCAGAAATTCCAGTGTTCTGGCAAGTTAGGTACTTGTTTAAAATAATTTGCTATGATAAGATTCTGAAACTTTAGTTTGCCAAGAAAGTTTACATAATTTTTAAAAACAAGAGTCTCTCTTTTCCTATTATTATGATTATCATTTTGGTTACAGATCTGTATGGAAGAAGAGGGGGGAGAGCAAATACGTTTTCCTATACTATAACACCATACAAGTAACATTTGGGATGCTTTAATATAATTTCCATGTTGATACTTTTGCATGAAATTCAAGAATTGAGTTGTCTACAAATTGTGATGTAAAATGTCATGCTTAAATACAACGGGCTTTTGTTATCCACTGGAAATTCTAACAGTGAAATTGCGTCCCCCTGTATAAAATGGCAAAATTAAACTTTTCTTTTTGGATTCTCTTTTCAAATATTTTCAACCCAAGGATGGCTGTATCCATGAATACAGAACCCATGGACATGGAGAGTCAACTGTAATGGAGAGTCCCAAGCCTGGACATCAGAACAAGCTAAAGTCAACACTAAAAAAGAGCAGATAAATAAACTATTAATAAGGAAGACTCTAGGAGCACTCGAGCCTCTTACTCATTTCATTTTCCCACAGCAGTGCTGTAACAGACTCAGTAGATCCAATAAAGAAGTTCCTAAACACACCTGAAGAGTGAAAATATACATAGATCTAGCTAGCATCAATGTGTGAATTCTTAAAAAGTTAAAAAAAATGTATTACGATGAAGACAAGTTATAGTAATCCAGACAGTAAAATTTTAATGCTATTTTCATTAGTATTACATGTACCTTGCTGGCCCAAGCATCTTCATCCCAGGATGTCAGCTGTAACACACGGATTATTTCATTTATTTCAGTACTCATCTTCTCTACTGTGAAATTGCGGTTTTTCAAGGCCTCTTCTATTCCTTGGCTTTTGGAATTTTTAGTTGTTACAAAAATCTTCATAGCTGTAAACATCAGAAAAGCCAAATATGAAACACTCCTTTATGTGATTGAAGAAAATTGGATCCCAGATGTTGCCCACTCCTATCTCAAAGGATTGGTAATTCCAAATACTACCCTACCCCACAACAAAAGTCAGTTTGTTAGGCAAACAAACTGACTTTTGTTTGCCTAAAGTCAGTTTGGTCCTGACTCAAGAACTTTAAGGTCATGAGCTTTTAAGTCCAAAATACCAGGAGAAGCATTCTTGTCCAGTAAAGATGACTTAAGATCAGGAAAGCTTTTCTGCAGGTGTTGCTGCCATCTGACCTATATTAGGAGCAGAGGGCAGTTTTAGTGGTGACCTCTTGTCTGTAGAATTCACATTTGAAATAAATCCGCCAAATCCATATTTTGCTTTTTGGAACTATCAGTGGAAACGTTCCTTTTTTGAAAGTACAAATGGCTAAGATTAAGGACACAGCTACACTGATCAATTAAGTCATCTTGAAAACATGGTATTGGAATGATACATGGTGCAAACAAATGCAGGAACACATATTAGAGGAATGCACATTAACCCAGGATAAGCAAAAACATGGGACACTCCAAAATAACATCCATAATGTACATCAGCACACATAGGCATAAACAACATTGCATGGTGAAACTAATTAAGGGATGGGCGCATTGAAGCTGGAGGCTTTGAAAAAAAACAACCCAAAATCCTCCATGTGAAGAAGTCGCAGGTATTCTGGATCCTTGAAGTATATCTGAGCTGAACTCTCTGGCATGTATAAGCACCATCTAGACCTGGATTCAGTACCTACACTTGATGTGTGATCAATTACACATTCAATTCGCTTCCCTTTTCGGCACATTCACCCCGTTTTTTCATGTAAGGACAACTTGAGAAACTGCAAGTCACTTCTGATGTGAGAGAATTAACCGTATGCAAGGATATTGCCCAGGGGATGCCCAGATGTTTTGCCATCCTTGTGGGATGCTTCTCTCATGGGGAGCTGGAGCTGACAGAGGGAGCACAACCCGCTCTCCCCAGATTCGAACCATTGACCTACCAGTCAGTAGTCCTACCAGCACAAGAGTTTAACCCATTGCAATGTCGGGGACACCACTTTCTCCCTGCATTATGTGATCAGTGCAGATGCACCCTGTCAATTGTTGTTTGCTATCTTTACTTTAGAGCCAGTGTGGTGTAGTAGTTTGCGTTTGAATCCTTGCTTTGCCAAGGAATCTTTGGGAAAGTCACACTCTCCAGTCCTCAAAAGGAGGCAAAGGAAAAAACCTTCTGAACAATTTCTGCCAAGAAATCCCCACGATAGGGTCACCATAAGTCAGAAATGATTTGAAGGCATGCAACAAATTTTTCTATTACTGTTGTTATTATTGTTGTTGTATTTATTTATACCCCACTTTATCTCCCCTGAAGGAGACTCAAAGCAACTTAACATAAAAGCATTAGCATAACCTTTTAAGATATACAAATATACTAACATTAAAACAGGATTAAATATAAACAGTATTTTTTAAAATTCCCAGTAAAAAACTATTAGGTCTTTAGGTTTTCCTTTCTTTCTTACCTTTCTTTTGCTTTCATCTCTTTGCTAGATTTTATTTTGTACATTATATTTTAGCAAGCAGAAGGAGATTTGAAGGCCAACATATCTCTAGTTGCCGAATCTAAGGATACAGAGGTCTAACTGTACATCTAGACTGCGATGGGAAGTATTTTAATGCTGAAAGACAGATTCCCGGAAGTAAATTGGGAGAGGGGGAAGAAACAGTATTTTAGAATTTGGTTGGGCCGAAGCCAGTGGTGGAACAAGTTGGAAGGGTGCAATACTTGAAAAAGTTACTTTGGGAGTCAACCAACCCTATACTCCCTCTCCCCCCCCCATAGCCTATCCTACCCTAGTTCCATAGCTACCCTTACCCTTTACCCCACCCATTTTAATTCACCCAATCGATATCATCACCCTACCCGAATCCCTCTACCCTAGACTTAGCCTATACATACCTACCCCTCTTTCCCTTTCTATCCCCCATTATAATTTTATGTTAATTGGAAAATTATTTAATAAAGATTTTTTAAGGAAAAGTTACTTTGGGGACAATAATGACCAGGATCTTCTAGATGGCTTAAAACAGGGGTCCTCAAACTAAGGCCCGACGGCCGGATACGGTCCTCCAAGGTCATTTACCCGGCCCTCACTCAAAGTCAACCTGAGTATGAAACAACTTGAAAGCACATAACGACGACGACGACGACAACAACCCTATCTCATCAGCCAAAAGCAGGCCCACACTTCCCATTGAAATACTAATAAGTTTATATTTGTTAAAATTGTTTTTAATTTTAATTATTGTATTGCTTTTAAGTGTTTTGCACTACAAATAAGGTATGTGCAGTGTGCATAGGAATCCATTCATGCTTTTTCAAATTATAATCCAGCCCTCCAACAGTTTGAGGGACTGTGGCCTGGTCCTCTGTTTAAAAAGTTTGAGGACCCCTGGCTTAAAAGCTCTTCGAACTACAATGCAGAAAAATAACTTTTCCCAAGTTCAGCACTACCATTCCCACACCTTTCTCCCTCTCTTTCTACCTAGCTCTTTCCATCACTGCATTATTTTCTCTCCGTGTGTCTTGCTCAATGTGAGAGCAGGAGAACCACCTGCAACATTCTGGACTAACTTCAAACTCAGAGTTGTCTACCCCTGGTTGAGGCCTTTTTCTTGCTGAGGTAGTGAGCCTGTGGCATGACCACCATATTAAATCTCATCCTTAAATAAAAACCCCTAGTTACGGGCAAGTATCACAGACAGAATCAAATATAAATAGCCCAATAATTCACACATCTCAGTGCCTTCGGCTCACAGAACATAAATAGGAGATATGCAGGCTATTCAAGCTAGGACCTCGGAGGCATAACTTTCTCTCCCAAGACAGCCACAAATAAAAGCACACATTTAGCATCTGTAGTTGTCAACAAAACACACAAGAACTTTCTATCAGCTTTCAGTAAGAATCTATCTGCTAAACTTTATTCACACATGGTTCAATATTTTTAAGGATATGTACAATGCAGTTCACCACATCTTTTGGTAAACATCATAGTGCAGGAAGTTACCTGAAATAAGAACTGGCAGTAATTCTTTCACGGTGTTCATGGAGTTCACCAACATAACCCTGTGCTCCTGGTGAGTCAACTCTTGTTGTCGTTCATCAATCATTTTGGCCATCTTGGTCATTCCTGTAGAGAAAGTCCATCAAACCATTAAGCCGATATTACATTATCTGAAAGAAGCAGCATCCCACTTTTAACCTCATACAGTACAAGCAGAATTCTATCTTGGAAACCACAACTTGTTTGTCATCAACTGATACAGTTTATACATCAGATCATAATTTAAAACTAGAAACTAAATGATAGTTTAAAATACAGGGTTTTTGAATGCACTAAGCTACTACTACCTCCTATTAGTTTAAAATACAATATAATTTATTCTAACTCATATTTTTATATTTAGAAAATATGAACACTGTGAATATTAAGTCATGTTGTACTTTGAACTAGAAATTAATGTTATTTAAAATACTAAAACTAAGAATCTATTGCAGAAAATGTCATTGGTTCAGTATGCGTATGTGATGAGATACCTATTTAATGGAAACAGAGAATACAATAATATTGTGCCAACAGTATACATTTTATTCAACCTATAAAGAGCAGAACAGTCTGGAACCTATATTCATCATGATGCTGCATATTCATGTATCCCAGAATGAACATACAGAGATATATTTTGTGGGGATCCAGGAATCCCTGGTTAAAAACTTAGTAAGACACTTCTGGCAAATGAGATTCTCTCTCTCCGTTTGCCTCATCATATATATGCAATTCAGCGATGATAACACTGGATTACCCTACAGTTGCAAACAAAACTATAACATAAATGAAGTATATTACAGATTTGGCAGACTACATACATTTTAAGTGTTACTGGTCACACGATACAGATGAAAATGTTAGATTTCTAGTACCACTGCAGCTTGTAAAGAAACACAGTCTTAAATACATCTGTCTCAGATGATGATATTTTTTATAAACCAGTAGTTAACTTGAATATAATGAGGGGAAAGGCTAAGCATATCAAAGAGATGGGTAACATCTCTAGGAAACATCTCTGCAACCATGGTGTCCCTATATGACACTCAAAAACATGAAAATGCCTCCCATTCCTAGAAAACACTACTTCATTCTGTATTTATATATGAAGTAGTAGCCATTCCCATTGAATGTGTCAAGAGAAGCAATTCTAATTTCTCACATGTTGTATTAGTTAGAGAAGAAGAAAAATCATGTATGTGACGCTATCTTAAACTATAAAAAAATCCAGTCATCTATATAGGAGACAACCCCAGGAAATGGCCACAGAAGGATTTTGACTGCTCTCAAATTCCCTCTTGAAGCTGTGGCCATCTCAAATAACGACCCATACACTGGGTCACATGAATTAAGGCCTCTATGGCCAACCATAAGCCAGTCAGTAAATCTGGAGACTAAAGTTTTAATCTCTACTCAGTCATGAAAACCTATTGCATGATCTCGGCAAAGTCACGTGGGCAATGGGGAATGACAGTAAGTCAGCTGCAGATGACCACAGGACTGCCTCTTCTCTCCATTTCTGCTTTCTGGCCGGATTCCTCTCCAGTAAAGGAATGTTTCATTCACTGCATTCCTCTTAGCCATTTTTTGGGTCAATGTGGATGTGATTGTGGCAGGCACAAATGTTTATTTGCACACCTCATCTATGTCAAGGGATGTGTGTGGAATTGCTAAAATAAACATCACAAGAGATATGCTACAGAAGAAGGCTGAAGGAATTGAGCCTGGCTGAAAGAAATTTCTCACAGGCAAACTCTCATCTTGGGGAGGTGAATTAAGAGGGGGCGGGGAGGATGAATTTATTTAATCCAGATACTATTTAAATGTTAAAATCCAGTGCTTCCAGTGTGCCCAAAACACCCCTAAGAAAGGATTATACACACATGGGGTATGTGTTTATATCACAAAACTGTCCTCCAAAGACGCATATGGTTTAATCCCCAAATTTAGTCAAAAGAACTCAAATAGTGGCTACTTTCTTCCTTCGCCAACATATTCAAAAATAAGAGGAGGTGCTCATCTAGAAAGTTACAGGTTCAAAATGGGATACAGGAACATTATGATACTATATTGGGGGATATGAGTTCTAAAGGCCGTTTTAATGTATTTACTGCATTTTAATTCTGTTTTTACCACACTGCTGCTTTTTTTTTTTTACTTTTGTATTGCTCTTTTTAAACTTGTCTAGTGTGCATAGACGTTAATCACCTCGAATCTCCATGGGGAGAAAGGCAGACTATAAACAAAGGGGGGGGGGGGAAGGAGGAGGAGGAGGAGGAGGAGGAAGGAGGAGGAGGAGGAGGAGGAGAATTTCTTACCACTAGTCAACACTGTGTAGTTTACAAAAAAGAAAGGAAACCATAGTCTTCTCTTGCTCCTTCGCCGTTCACTTACTCGCTGTTTCGCGGTTTTCCCTGTGTGGCCCTCCTCTCTCTCTCTCTCTCTCACCTCACCTTCTCTTCTCTTTCCTCTCCTCTTTCCCCTCCCTTCCTCCCTCCCTTGGATGCCCATGCCACCCTCCCCTGGCAAGAGGGACACTTTCACCTGGGTGGCCCTCCTCCTCCTCCTGGCCTTCTCTTCCTTCCTCCTTGCCTTCCTTCCTCTGCTGCTTTCCCTCCTCAGGCTGTAGGGGAAAGAGGAGGAGGAGGAAGAAGATGATGCTGGGGCTGGGGACAAAATGGAGGGAGCTGCCAGAGCCACTGCACCTGGCCCAGCGGGGGGGGGGGGGGGGGATCTGGAGCAAAGAGCTGGCCAGGCTGCACTGGGCCGCTGCCACTGGAGACCTGGCTGAAGTGCAGCAGCTCCTGCAGAAGCAGCATGATCCAAACGAGAGGGACAAGAGGAGGAAAAGCGGCAGAGGAAGGAATTGTCCCTCACACTCGGGTCGCCACCAGAGGAGACCTGGCTGAAATGCGGCAGCTCCTGCAGAAGCAGAAGGGAGAGGAAAGAGGAGAAGAAAGAGAAGGTGAAGTGAGAGAAGGGGGGGAGCATCCCTACTTCGTGGTATTTCACTTATCGCACAGGGTCCTGGAACGGAACACCCGCAATAAGTGAGGGAACAATGTATACAAACCTCAAAGGTTTTGTTCAAGAAGCCTAAAAGAGGCTACCCGTTCCTTGCATCACCAAAAACCCTTGGTAATTATTACAACAAAAAGATACCACATGTTACAGACCTTCCCTCCAACAATAATTCAGAGTAATGGGCTTCACTTTACTTACTCTCACAATCAGCACATGTTCAGAACATATGAAGCTGCTTTGTACAGAATCAGAACACAATCTATTACGTCCAGTACCATGAACTGACTGGCAATAATGCTTGGAGGGCTCAGATCAAGTATGCTGCCTTGGTCTGAACATTGAACTTCCATATAAGCAAGACATCTATTGGACCACGGAAAGAAACATCCAGATTTTGAAGGTCCTGCATAAAAATAGCTCAGGAATAAATCAAAGAATATTGGGATATGTCTAACCTGGTCCCAGGTTCTTTGTATATGTCACCAAGTCCTCCATAGTCTCCACCACTTCTGCCACAGTTAGGTATTCCAGAATTCCTTTGCAAACACGAATTATTTTACGAACCTAAAATTTAAAATAAAATGTAACAATTACATTTCTCTTATGACAAGAAAATTAAATGAATGTTAACAAGTCATGTTTAACTTGTTGTCCATTTTGTAATGGGCAACAAGTTAAACATGAGCCAGCAATGCGATAAGGCAGCTAAAAAGCCAATGGGATTTTGGTCTGCATAAATAAGAGTATACAGTCTAGACCCAGAGAAGCCATGCTACCCTTCTAATCTGCACTGGTCAGACCACACCTGGAATACTGGGAAGCTTTTCAGAACATGGCTTCTTAATACAGATGTGATTAGGATGATAAATGTTAGTTCAGTGGTTTCTACAGGAGTCAATATTTAGAAAGCATTATAAGACCGAAAGTTGTATTTAAAGAATTTTCAAAAAAATTATTTGCTAATAAATAGATGTAGTTTTACAACTAGAAAGCTCACCTCGGCCTCATCAAATGTTAGAAGTAAGTCCGATGTCCCAGAAAGAATGCCTCTTGATCCATCAATAAGGTAGTCACGAGCAGGTACTGAATAAGGATCCTTTTGGAGCATCTGAGCTGCCTGGACAAGTTTTGTGCAAGCATTTTCCACTCTGCGAAAAATCATGATGAAACAGAAATTAAACTCAGTTCTCTCACCAATAACGGACAAAAGATATGTACCCTAGAATACTATGAATCTTACTGAATCTTACAGGTTGTGCACTGCACAACCTGCTCAATGTGATTAATTACCGTACTTCTACCCCATAGGCATTTTCTTTTAACTGTCAGTTGAATTTTTTAAAAAATGGACAGACATTGTATATTGTTGAAGGCTTTCATGGCCGGGATCACTAGGTTGTTGTGTGTTTTCTGGGCTGTATGGCCATGTTCCAGAAGCATTCTCTCCTAACGTGTCGCCTACATCCATGGCAGGCATCCTCAGAGGTTCTGAGATCCGTTGGAGACCTATCCAGGGTAGGAGAAATAACTCTTGTCTGTCGGAGGTAGGTGTGAATGTTTCAATTGGCCACCTTGATTAGCATTTAATGGCCTAGTTTTCAAGGTGTGGCTTCTTACTACCTGGGGGCATCCTTTGTTGAGAGGTGATTAACTGTCCCTGATTGTGTCTTGTCTAGAGCTCCCCTGTCTTTATTTACTGTTATGATTTTAGTTTTTTTTAATACTGGTGGCCAGATTTTGTTCATTTTCATGGTTTCTTTCTTTCTGTTGAAATTGTCCACGTGCTTGTGCAGACTTAACTCCATCCTCTCCAGTAGCTCTCTTGATCCATTTTGCTCAGCTTTTTGGTTCCCTCCTCCCCATTCTATTTTCAGGGGATTACACAAAACGGACCACCGAATATCATTTTTGGTCAACCTGATCCAGGGCCAAGCCTACAAGCCAGCAATATCTGCTTTAACCCACTACCTTATATGACAAATCCTGTCCCTGAATTTATTTAAATACCATTCATGATCTAAGTGCTCTTTTTATTCACAGTGACTTTCCTAAAGTGTCAAGTCAAAAATCGGACAACATGTTCTCACTATGAACTCCGTAATCTAATTTTTGCAACACTAATCTGAGCCCTTTGGTAGGTCAGGGACTCATAGTGGCAACATAATTCTCCATTTGAAAAACGTTTAAGAAACAAAAGGACAGTGATTTGATGGAACCAAGGCCAACATGCTTACGGATTTGTTGTGTACAATACAGAAAATGATATTTTGGACAGATGACTGTTACAGACAGCAGACTGCGAGACGTGCAAACTAAGCTGGAACACAGATGAGAGCATAACATCATATTTACAAGCCAAATTTAGCCAAAGATTAAATATAATTCACTTGGCTGGTTTTAGAGACCAGCGAAGGGTCTTGTAAATGCAACTAGAGCTGTATGTATTAGAAAACATTAATGGCGCCTCCAGATTTTTTTAAAAAATCATGAACCTTGGTATTTAAATCAAAAACACTATTTTGCAAACAAATGTGTAACTCTTTTGCCTATTACACATCATGTCCCTCACCTATTTATTTCATACAGATCCTGACATGTTGAGTTTGTTGACTCTGCCAGTGTGATTTTACAATTGTCATCACTTCTTACAAGATATGATTACCGAAACTTAAGAAACCCACCAGCTATTAAACTACACATGATCGAATGAAGCTGTAACTCAGGTAACCTGTGGCCTAATTCTGGACTATAGCACTTCACCCTGAATGGTCATTTAACACAAATAAATAGATGAGCTCCCTATAGGATATGACATCAAAGCAAGTGGACAAACTTCTTTTTGCAGCGGCAAAAAGCCGTAAGTGCTTCATGAACAATTTGGCCACATCATGAGGAGACAGGAAAGCCTAGAGAAGACAATTATGCTGGGGAAAGTGGAAGGCAAAAGGAAGAGGGGCCGACCAAGGGCAAGATGGATGGATGGCATCCTTGAAGTGACTGGACTGACCTTGAGCGAGCTGGGGGTGGTAACGGCCGACAGGGAGCTCTGGCGTGGGCTGGTCCATGAGGTCACGAAGAGTCGGAGACGACTGAACGAATGAACAACAACAAATTGGCAAGAGTCTAACAAAGAGTATCTAGGTGACTTATTACTAAATTGTAATTAGCTCCAGTCTTTGAAAATAAAGATAGTCACCCAACCGGTAGAGAATGGAGACAACTATTATCATTAAACTATAAACCAGACTGATATTATAAATGATTCAAATGCTGTATTTCACTATTCTATTCTCACTTGACTTCAGCCAAATGTTTGTTGACCAAAATAAAGGCTACTGACTGCCTGACAAATAAATAGATGGGCTCCCTATAGGATATGACATCAAATCCCTCCATTTCCCCTGATATATCAGTTTGCTATGTGCAGATAGCTTTTTGTACAATGAGTGATCCCCCAGCAATCCAGAGACAAATTCTTTGTCCTAATAAGAACTAGGGGTCATGGTAGCACAGCGAGTTAAACTGCTAACTGCAGGAAATCTGCTGACCAGAAGGCCAGCAGTTCAAAGCTGCAAGTTGGGGTGAGCTCCCAGCTGTCAACCCTAGCTTCTGCCTACCTAGCAGTTTGAAAGAATGTAATGCAAATAGATCAATAGGTACAGCCTCAGCAGAGAGGTAAAAGGGCGCTCCAAGCAGACATGCCAGCATCATGATTGGAAAAGTCCATAGACAACAGGCTCCTCGACATGGAAAAATGGAACAAGTGCACCTCCCCATGGCCAGAGTTGAGCATCACCTCCAGACACCAGAGATGAAAGGGGAAGGCCTTTACCTCTGTCTTTGTCTATATGTCATTGTTCATTGTGTAAAAAGGCATTGAATGTTTGCCTTATATATGTTAAACTGTAATCCGCTCTGAGTCCCTCTGGATAGATAAAGCAGAATATAAATAAAGTGCATTATTAGGACAATGACACAAGTAGACTAGATGTAACAATCTAAATAGTGATGGAGTATTTGTATAAAGTGTGAAAAGCAATCTGTTGTATTGTTCATTGTTTTTTCCTTCTTTCTTTTTATTTTTTTTTAGGATTCATAAAATAGTATAATAGCTAACAATATTGTAAGATTGTGGATGAATGGAATGATGCACTTTATATGTTTTAATCTGTTATTATTCTACTAGCTATACCCGCCACGCGTTGCTGTGGCCAACCTTCCCTCCCTCTTTCTCTTCTTTCTCTTCTTTCTTTCTCTCCGTCCTCTCCTCCCTCTTTTCTTCCTTCCCTTCCTTCCTTCCTTCCTTCCTTCCTTTCTTTCTTTCTTTCTTTCTTTCTTTCTTTCTTTCTTTCTTTCTTTCTTTCTCTCCTTCCTTCCTTCTCTTCTTTTTCCCTTCCTTCCCCCCACCTTTTCTTCCCCTTCCTCTTTCTCCCCTTCCTTCCTTCCTATTCTTGGATTGCAACTTCCAGTAGTCCTTCTGACTGATCTATCTATCTACCTACCCATCTCTATCTATTCTATCTATCAGGAGGATTGCTAGAAGTTGCAGTCCAAGAATCAGAAATGGGAAATATGCAGGGATTGGGATGCTCTCAAAGAAATCCAAGGAGAAGAAAGATTGGCGCTTGGAAGCAGTGCATCTGGATCATCCTCCTCTCCTTAAGGGCGTGGTCTAGGGGATGCTGGGAGCTGTAGTGTGGATATGCCATTGTGAGTTTTGTTTGCCAGGGGAAGTCATTTTTGCGCATGTGCTGTAGTGTCTTTTTGCTTTTTTGGCTTTTTAAGTCCCTTCCGCTGTGTTCTTCAGTGTTTTTATGGGTGATGGCCACTTGTTGGGACCGCTAGGTGTGTTGTGTCCAAATTTGGTGTCAATTTGTCCAGTGGTTTTTTAGTTATGTTAATCCCACAAACGAACATAACATTTTTATTTATATAGATATAGGTGTGTTTTATTGTTTAACTGTTTAACTGTTTTTAATATATGGGACAGGTTTTATGACTATGTTTTAAGTGGCATTAAATCTTGCCGGAGTAGTAAGCCACCCTGAATCCCCCTACGGGGTGAGAAAGGCAGGGTATAAATGAAGTAAATAAATAAGAATAAATATATCAATGCCTTTATTAGTAAATCTTAAAAGACACTAAAAGTCATCACAGCAACAAAGTAACTTTATTCCAACTTGCTGTCTTGACTTTTCAACATGTAACATTTCCCCCTTACATATACAGGTAGTTGCATTAATTGTGATCTCTTACTTCCAAGCTCTGGGCATGATTAAAACCAGAACGGATGAAACACTCAATTACGGGTCAATGAGGTAGGAGGGAGACTTTCTGATGCAGAAAGGAGAAGTTGTAGGTAGAGAACAAATTCATCCTGTTGCTGGATTCCAGCTACTTAACCATGATTAAGTGAAATCGAGAGCCTTGGCTGCACACCGGTCTGTGTAGAAAAATGAAACTCCCTGTGAGCTTTACCATCTCATTTCCTATGACTCCCAAGAGAGAAGCAGTGCTTCCTGTGTCTTAAAGGAAAAATTCAGGATAATCATAGTGCAATCGAATCTTGAGGAGATATATATATATATATATATGACCACTTGCTTAACTATATATGGTGCAAACAGAGTTCACATAGTTAATTCCTCTAATCTTGCTTCCTGGCAAATACAGCCGTTTTGGTGAGTCACAATATCACAGTCCTAGATCTAGAACAGCCCCACCCTTCAGTCCTCCTCTGGAGTCAGTACACATTACTAACAGAGAGTGTTTGCTCTGCTGACCTTTTCAATAAGGAGGTGGCATTTCACATTGTCAAGGAAAGTGCTTTAATAACAAAAGCGATCACTATGCTTTTAAGACCTCAGTTAGTGAAATCGTTATGTGTTCAAAATTGATGCATGAAGTTAATTACAAATGCCAGTCAATTAGCTTTCAAGTGTCGAAGTGGAATCAGCCAAGACAAGGGTCAAGAGATGGGAAGCATGAACATGCTGCAACTGACACTCCCACGTCCCACGTAGACTTTTTGAACTTTCAAGAATTGTACCAACAGGAGAAAAAGATACTGGAGAGGTGAGATACTAGAAAGTGATGATAACATCACAAAGTTGAGTATAAATCTAGCAAAATTGAAAATATGAAAATGGATATTTCCTCATTAAATAAATAAAACAAGTTGGTATCAAACATTTGAATGTAGGTCTCCTGTATCATTTCAAAATGCAGTGGTGGATCAAACACTTAGATGCTTCTCTACACAAATTGCCCACATAAGAAAAAAAAATCTAGCAAGTTGGAAGTGTTGGTGGTGAGGTTCACTGTGGTAAAATATGGTCAGTCCTCCTTGTTAATTACTCATTCAAAACATCCCGACAGAGATGTAGAAAATAAAACCAATGAAAATTTAGTAATTATGCCAGGGGTCCCCAAACTAAGGCCCGAGGACTGGATACAGCCCTCCAAGATCATTTACCTGGCCCTCACTCAGGGTCAACCTAAGTCTGAAATGGCTTGAAAGCACAGAACAACTACAACAACCCTATCTCATCAGCCAAAAGCACACCCACACTTCCCATTGAAATACTAATAAGTTTATATTTGTTAAAATTGTTCATTTTAATTATTGTATTGTTTTTAAGTGTTTTTGCACTTAAAAATAAGATTTGTGCATTGTGCATAGGAACTCATTCATGTTTTTTCAAATTATAATCCAGCCCTCCAACAGATTGAGGGACTGTGACCTCTGTTTAAAAAGTTTGAGGACCCCTGAATTACACTATGTAACAAAATTTGAAAAAAATATATGTTCCTGGTTTGAATGCGTTATTTTCTGTTTAGTTGTGCAGGACTTATTTGTCAGTAGTTGCTACACTCCAGAAACTTTGGTTTTGTGGCTGCCACAAACTATGTTGAATTGGTTGAGCTATTCATTGAAAAACTATAGCAAAACAAGCTGCAGGATGTTTTTGTAGTTTAATAAACTTTCTCCATGTTTTTATGATAGAACCAATTAGGACATTTATAACCCAGGAACAAAAATAGTGTTACATAGTGTTATGTAACGGGAAAGTTAAACAATGAATTTCCTGAATTCTTTGCAAACATTTAGTTTCTTTCAGACCAAAAGGTTAGTCACATCTTATTCTCTTTTCCTAACTGGCCATGTTCATTCAATCCAGTCCTGTCTCTTACATTTGCCTTGTCCTATCTCTACTTCTGAATTTTCCAATTAACAGACCAAACACTAGGTTATATCCTTTTCCCCGCAGCCCCACCTCAACGCATCCCATGAGCTGTGGCTGGCTGGCTCTATCTTGTCTTACCCAGGCTCTTGGTCCACATGACCATTTTAATTTACTTACTTGATGAATGCAGGTGGCATATCTCTCTTCAAGATCTGATCTTCTGTTGTCTGAACTGTTTCTTTCCCAACCTGAATGAAAAAAGGAAAGAGTTTCACTTTTTTTGCTGCCTTTATCAGGATAAAATTCGTAAAACGTAATCATCTTGACACTGCCACATCTAATGAAGGTTTCAAGAAAGCGTGACAAGGATAAGAAACTATGTCCTCTATAACAGCACTTCTTAAACTATATGATATGAAGGGCAGACATGTTTTCTTTTTCCAGTGTGTCAAGAACTGGTACTAATTTGTAGTCACTGCCTACAGTTGTGCTTTGGTTCCATCCCCTGGTTCATCCCCTGGGCAACGTCCTTGCAGACGGCCAATTCTCTCACAACAGGAGCGACTTGTAGTTTCTCAGGTCGCTCCTGACACGACAAAAAAAAAAATCCTATGAAATCCTGGTGTTTGTAGTTCAGGGAACAGCATTTATAATTATCAGCCAAAGATCTGTAGTTTCTTCTTCTAACCAAAAAACCAGTCCCAGGATGACCACCATAGCACTAGAATGGTGTAGTATAAAATGACCTCAGAAAGGAAAGCTTATGTTTGCTCAGAGGTCCTAGAAACACCACACCATTTTGTTACAGGTTTCCACTTCTAATGTTCTACTTCTCAATAAATGTTTTAGTATTTCTGCCACTGTGACAATCGCAACAGCAGGGAGCAAGGAAAAAACACAGAGAGAGAACAACAGCATGAGATGATTACCTCCTCAGATTTACTCTTTTCACCTTGACATACAAATAACCTGCCAAGAGATAAAGAATCCATTGCCTGAATGCTTACAAACCAGAGTGGTTTCTTTAAAAAGAAAAAAAAAGGTTTCCATCAGTGATCACATTAGTGATCTATCCACATCTGTTAAGCTGCCATCTGTTCAACTGATGGGTTTGTTATTTCTGGAAGGGCTCCTGACAGTTCTGTTATATACACATCATTATGCCACAACACAATCAAATGGAAAAGAATGCCAGTTACGTATAAATATAGATATATCTCCCAGAGAGATATCCATAACAGCTTAGTACAGATGTGTGAGTTGCTCAACTCCACATAACATTTTGCCATCTTGTATTCTCAGCTAAAAAAGTACTGAGGTTTGGACCCTTGAGGCTCGTCCCCTTAGTGTGGTATTTATAGTTGCAACCTTTGGACAAGTTGTACATATCTGTAGATGCCTTCAGGTCACGTGTTGATTTATTGTGAATTTCAAACGTTTTCTTAGGCAATTAATACTCAGAGATGGTTGTGACAGTTCCTTCCTCTGAAGTGTAGCCTGCGATGGCTGGTATTCATTGGTGGTCTCCAACTGTAGTACTAACCAAAGATCACTCTATTTTGTTTTCACAGTCAGGGAGAATCTGGTGACTTTAGGGTATTATTTTTTTTTGTCGTGTCAGGAGCAACTTGAGAAACTGCAAGTCGTTCTGGTGTGAGAGAATTGGCCGTCTGCAAGGACGTTGCCCAGGGGACGCCCGGATGATTTGATGTTTTTATCATCCTTGTGGGAGGCTTCTCTCATGTCCCCGCATGAGGAGCTGGAGCTGGTAGAGGGAGCTCATCCGCCTCTCCCCGGATTTGAACCTGCGACCTGTCGGTCTTCAGTCCTGCCAGTACACTGACCTTGGAAGACTATACTACTGGGACAACAAGGGATCACCCTAAAAAATCCCAGGATTTCTGTTTACCCCAGATTATCTGGCAGTGGGGACTCATATAATCCAGTTTAAAGCAGAAAATCTGGGATATCTAAAAAAAACTTGCCTGCATATTTTGCAGCTTTTGCTATCATTATCCTGTAATCTGCTTTTCACCATACAGCCAATCATAAAATGTAATGCTTCCTACACAGATATGATTAGGCTATAATCATTATGTACAAGATCACACTGAATTAACTAGTGATTGATTTTTTTTTATCGTGTCAGAAGTGACTTGAGAAACTGCAACTCGCTTCTGGTGTGAGAGAATTGGCTGTTTGCAGGAACGTTGCCCAGGAGATACCTGGATGTTTTGCCATCCTGTGGGAGGCTTCTCTCATGTCCCCGCATAAGAAGCTGGAGTTGACAGACACGGAGCTCACCCCATCTTGTGGATTAGAACCACCAACCACAGGTCAGCAGTCCTACCAACACAAGGGTTTAACCCATTATGCCACCACGGCTCCTACTAGTGTTTGATACAAAGACCAACTTAGTCAACTATTTCAAAGTTTGCTGTGAAACTTTTAATAAATTATTCTTTACAATTCCAAAGCCATCACAAACAGTTACAATTCTAATTTCTACCCAAAATTTATTTCCAACTCAACTCTTCCCAAACATTAAACATTAACTTTTAAATCCTTAAGGTGAGAATTGAAAGTTGCTATCTGAAATAGGTGAGACTCTTCCTATCTATCCACCATATCTCATGAGGCACAGCACAAGCTAACACCTAAAACCACAGGATATCCCTCTTCTACTATGTAGGAGACCAAACAACATTAACTATAAAAGTAACTAAACCCAGTCAATACACTTTAAATTGAGATCCATGTTGAGCAGACGTTTGGCTGTAGATCTGATCATATCTAAGTATCTGACTGATGGCTGCTATATTTGCCACTAAGTTCAAGCATATTTTCTGCTTCAGCATGACTGTATGCTACCCAGTATAATCAGGGTAGGAGATGGAAGAAAAACCTTATACAACTGAGAGACTGTACAGATACACACCATTATTTATCATATTTTATTTGACTTTGCTGCAAGCAGTAGCATGAGCCAATTAAATAGTATATCAAAACACTCAACTGCGCCAGGATTGTGGCGCAGCTGACTGAGTGTCAGCTTCATTAAGATCACTCTGACCAGAAGGTCATGAGTTCAAAGCCAGCCCGGGTCAGAGTGAGCTTCCAGCAAATTTTGTGTAGCTTGTTGTCGACCTTTGCAACCTGAAAGACAGTTGCATCTGTCAAGTAGGAAAATTAGGTACCACCTATGTGTGGGGAGGCTAATAACTAATTTATGAGGCCATAAAAAGACTCCAGCAAAAAGCACTCCAGCAAAGCATGCGGGGAATGCGGAAGTACTTCATCAGTGTCGCAGATGGACAATGAAAGCGACAGCTCCCCTGGCGGCCAGAAAAAGTTAAATAGCCTCTGTGTATGTCCATATACGTTGTATGTCTAATTGGCATCGAATGTTTGCCATATATGTGTACATTGTAATCCGCCCTGAATGAGAAGGGTGGAATATAAATGCTGTAAATAAATAAATAAACTGTCTGTCCCATTGATGAAAGCAAAAGAAGATGCACGTGCACACCAGCAACGGGCAAATCAAGATGATAGAACCGTTTTTTGTCTCTAGCATGTTGAAAAGGTATATTTAACAAACGGATGCTATGTGTACACAATGGAAAATGAGGTAAGCAAAATGAGGTAAGAAACAAAGGAAATGTGCTCAATTCAGCTTTATTAGGAAACTATCCTCTATTTTACACTCCCTATAAACAAAAGCCAAACCTACTACGAAAGTACCATAATTACTAATCAAAATGATTCACTGCTTACCAGGGGTGTAATTGTGTGCCTTTTGATGCATGGGCCAACTCCACCCACACCAAATAACTAATAAACTATATCTTTAGCTACATTAACTGAATACTATACAGCTATCATCTCACATTTTGCAAAATTTTGTTGTTTTTCTAAAGCTTTAAACTTTTTGTCTAAAAATTCTGGTGTCCTGTTTTTCACCTTTGCTTCTTAAATCATAAGCAAAGTGCCTGTATGATGTATACATGAAGTTGTGTGAGTAAACTGTTACTTTAAAGAATACTGCTTATTTTGTCTCTTGAGAACATAACTGAAAAGCAAATGTTTTGGGGCAACTAAAGGAACTTACATGAATATATGTTTGGGGTGGGGATTTTGGGGTTTTTTTTGGGGGGGGGGTTGTGTGTGCATTGGCATGTCTTTGTCTCTAGCAGTTCAGAGACATAGGTACATTCGTTTAACAGCTGAGACCTAGTTGCCTTGTATGAATGCTGGTAAACATCATTTTTAAAAGGTTGTGACATCTAACAAGGTCATCCCTTTTCTATGATCAGTGATTTTCCAAAATCATTATGAATCCCATTTCCCAAATAGTTATGGAGATTCGCATTTTCCAAAACAATACTCTCCAGATGGCAACGATTAAAAATATAGACTTTCGGGTGGTTATTCCAACTTTGAGCTGCTTACCGCCCACAGAGTCTGCAGCCATGTAGAGAATCTTCACATCAGTGATGTCTTTCTGTCTGGCTGCACATGAGGAGTCACACAATCAGCCCAGAGTTGTAACACTGTGAGGAATCCAATAAGGAGTGGCATCATTCCAAGGCATCACCATTATTGGGCTGTGACTAATTAAACTGGCCTGAGATTGTGACAGCAGAAAGACAAAAGGCACCTTGTGACACCTTAAACAGTGGCTTCAGTGTCCTCATCTTTCATGGGCAAGAGACCCTTCATCAGAGCTTCTCATGAAGAAGGCTTTTGTCCATGGATTTCCTAGTCTGTGCAATAAATTCCAGGAAGGGCAATGTTTTCCTTCCCATGGCGCCCATTTCTATGTCATGTAAAAAAAAAACTCAAATAAATAAAGTCACTGCTGTTCAGAATGACAAGAAGTTAAGAGTGAACTTCCATAGCGGATAAATGGATAGAGAAAGAAGTTTACAATCAAGCTGAGGCTTAATGGTGAGAAGGTGGAGAAGTGAATGAGAGACTGTGGGGCGGGGGTCTTGCATCCTTAACTCCTGCGAGTCTGGGCATTGGAGGGCTGATTGGGCATCTGGAAAATCTTTATTCATAGCAAACATAAATAGGGAATATTAAGGATGAGCCAAACAAAAGACATAAAACATCATCGCCCAACGCAGTGATTCCCAACCTTTGGGTGTGTTGGACTTCAACTCCCAGAAATCCTGACAATTTGCCAAGATGGTGGAGGCTCTGGGAGTGGAAGTCCCAAACACCTGGAGACCCAGAGGTTGGT